CCCCCACCTGGGGACAATCCCGTGGGCCACCTAACTCAGGGGTTCTCCCTCCAGATTTGGTCCAGTAAATGAGGTTGAGTGACATTATAACACCCTTGAATCATTTTCAGAGGAATTTGGCTGGAGCAGGGAGAGCCTCGGGTTTGGAGGTTGACTGGGTTAGGGAAGTAGATTAGTGTTTTTGGGAGAAGAGACGGCGCCTGGGGCAAGAGCCTACCCCAAAGAAAAGGGTATCTAAAATGTTCACGGTTCCTTCTTTGCCTCAAAAAGTGACATTTATTCAAAGGAAAAAAAAAAAAAAAAAAAAAAAAAAAAAAAAAAAAAAAATTTATTAAAAAAAAAAAAAAAAAAAAAAAAAAAGAAAAAAAAAAAGACAAGATGTCCATCCCTTGGCTCCCTTCCCTCCCCCCTCCTGCTTCTCCTCAGCCCCCCAAGGACTGAGAACCCTGGCTGGGGTGAAGTGGCAGGACAGCCCCTCAGATGAGGTCAGCAACATTAAGGGGCATCTCCTCAATGGAGGTGTTGTAGAAGGTCTCGATGTCTCTAAGAGTCCTCTTGTCTTCTTCTGTCACCATATTAATAGCCACACCCTTACGGCCAAAACGTCCGCCCCGACCGATTCTAGAAAAGAAGGATACCTTAGGATACAGGAGGACATGGTAAACAGGAAACAAGAAGCTTCAGTCCAGGGAGGATTGGGCATGAGGGGGCTGGATAAATGCACTCACCTGTGGATATAGTTTTCCCTGTTGGTGGGAAGGTCATAGTTGATGACTAAAGAAACCTGCTGCACATCAATGCCTCTGGCCTATGGCAAGGAAAGACGACAGCTTCAGCATGTGAATAAGAGAGCAAAGCTACCCAGAAGGAACTTGGGACTTAAATATACATGTAGGCAGCCAAAGGAAGGCAAAGAAAATGATGCATCACCTTCTCCCCGGAAAACCTGAGGCATGCCAGATTTTATTCCAAGTTGCTACTTTCCTGAAGAGAGGCACTATTGGGGCCCCTTGGAGAGGGAATCACCTTGGTTTCTCCCCAGTTTCCTCCAAATTCCCCAACCTACTCACCAGCAGGTCAGTGGTAATCAATACTCTGCTAGAGCCAGAGCGGAACTCCCTCATGATTACATCTCGTTCCTTTTGGTCCATGTCTCCATGCTACAACAGGAAACAGAAGAGTGTAGACATATTGGTTCTGAGAACTGGCTATACGTGGGCCAACGACTCTTATACACTGCTGGTTAACAAGGGGGGGGACTCACCATGGCAGAGACAGTGAAGTCTCTGGCGTGCATCTTCTCAGTGAGCCAATCAACCTTTCTTCGAGTATTGATAAAGATGACTGCCTGGGTGATGGTGAGGGTTTCATACAAGTCACACAATGTGTCCAGCTTCCACTCCTGGGGGTGAGTTGGGGAGAAAAATCAGTCAGGGGCTATCCCTAACAACTTACTACCAGGTCGATCTCCTGCACTGGGCCCCACCTCTCGTTCCACATTGATGTAGAATTGGCGGATACCCTCCAGAGTCAACTCTTCCTTCTTGACAAGAATCCGAATGGGATCCCTCATGAACTTCTTGGTCACCTCAAGCACATCGGAAGGCATTGTAGCCGACAGCAATACCACCTAATAAGAAAAAAGAGCAGCCTCAGGATAGGAGATACTCCATGCCACCTAAAACAAGCTAATGCACAAATAAGCTTGAGGAGAGACTAGAATTCTGTATGGTTCCTCTGGCACCTGACATTATTCTATTACCCCAACCACAACCTATAAAGAATCAGCTATAGAGACAAGACTCTAAATGTCTTTCTCACCTGGGTGTTGCTGTTGAGCTTTTGGAATATGTCATATATCTGGTCCTTGAACCCACGGCTTAACATTTCATCAGCTTCATCCAGTACAAACATCTTGATGTATTTGGGAGCTACAGGAAAACAAAAAAAGAAAAAAACAAGACAAAACATCAGTAAGTGATAATTAGGGAAATGTGAAATATGTGTAACTTTCCCAATAAAGAGCCAGAAAGGGACAGGTGGTCTGCTCTCAGAATTCAAATTTTGATCCTTTGCCAGGAACCCCCCTTGTCAGGCCAGACAATAGCCCTGGGAAGTAGAACACTACCTGGGCTGAGACAGGGAAGCCAGCCTCAGATGACACGCATGGGGTTCATCACAGAGCAACTCTTTCAGGGGAAAACGAGCTTCATTGGCAACAAGATTGTGGCCAAGTGGAAAAACTGGCAAAGCATGCAAGAAAAGGAAAGTAATCCAGAAGACCAGAAAATTAAGATACTCACACAGGTATCTGCGGTTAAGCATATCAAACACACGGCCTGGGGTGCCCACGATGATATGGGGAGCTTCCATCTGCAGCTTCTGCACCTCAGCACGCACGTTGGTACCCCCAATGCAGGCATGGCAGGAGGCACCCATGTAATCTCCTAATGCCATAACTACCTTCTGTATCTGAACCCAGAAAAGATAAGTGCTCATGTATTAGTTACAACTGTGCCAGGCCCCATTTTAAGTACTTCTCAGGTTTTTATTTTTTCCAACTCAGATATGTACTATTATTAAAACTCACTTTTCAGAACTGACACAGGCAGGTTATATGCATCTAAGACCACATTGACAGTTAAGTGGCAGAGACACAGGATTTGAACACATTCTGGCTCCTGAGAATGTGATTCACGGTACCTGCCCTCTGAAATAATTTCAATATGGCTTACCATGCTACACCCCATCTAACTTTCTGAGAGCCCATAGTAACCCAGCTATTACATAGCATCAAGTTTTATGTCCAGAATGACACATCCATGTCCTACTGCATGACTGCCAAGAAAACTATGTTAGGTGACATGTTCACTCCTAAAAAGCATGTTCTAGACATAAGGGTTCTATAACGGAGCTGTACTAGAACTATCTACTTATGCTGCCATTGTTTAGAAGTATTTAGGAGTTTTCAGAGTAATCACATCCCTACAAAACATTTTAAAACCCCCACCCCCCCAAGCCTAATCTACTCAGGACACCAGTGTTTCTGATCCTTTTTCCTGTAAGACCGAGTAATTGTAATTTTATGTGCCTCAGGCATGAAACAGCTCTGGCCACCAACACAGGCATCAAGCTAGGATGAACTAAGGACTGTACATCTGCTTTGCCCCTGATTGATATAAGAGCAACACCACCAATCAGGTGTCTCCTTGCCCATTGCCAGGGGGAGGGGGTTGTCTATAAAACAGCCACCAAACTTGCTTAGCCAGCCAGGCTCCACCCAGAAGCCTTCCCATTTGACTCAGCGAATGGGTGGAGGAAATAATGCTTGTTTTGTTTGGGAAGATACCGCAGTTCTTCCAAGGTGGTGGTGGATGGAGAGCATACTCTGATTTTTGGATTGTGCTAATTATTTCTAAACCAGTCCTTCAGGGGAGAGGAAATAAGCTACACTCTCACCTGCTGTGCCAATTCTCTAGTGGGTGCCAGGACCAAGGCCTGGGTGGCCTTTAGATCCAATTCAATCTGTTGCAGAATCGATATGGCAAAAGTGGCTGTTTTTCCTGTCCCAGATTGGGCTTGAGCGATCACATCATAACCTAAAATAAGGAGAAAAACTTGATATGGTACAGGGCATACACTTTGAGATCATGGGACTTTCAAGGCCTTGCCAAACAAAATCAATAAACACCCAATGGAGCTATGTGCCAGGCATAAGGTTGCTTCACAGACTTAACTCTACCACTACCAGTACACTTATAGGAATAGGTCTGGTCATTAACTTAGTGTACTGCAAGAAATAAGCTAGAAACACAGCTGTAAAGGAGAAGTTATGAGCTGGCCAAAATACTGTACTTAAAGCACAGGCCAAAAAATAGCTGGGATAAACAAGGAGTTACTTTGTCCCTAGCTGATGAGACAAGCACCCCAAACTAGGTGCAAACTCTTCCCAGTCAGAGGCAATCCAGAACTTGTTTGGGGACAGAGGGATCTTACCCTTGATACAAGGAAGAATGGCTCGCTGCTGGATGGCAGACGGCTTCTCAAAACCATAGGCGTAGATGCCTCGGAGGAGGGACTCCGAGAGGTTCATGTCATCAAAGCTATCGACAATCTCATTCCAGTTACTCTGTAGGATACAAAGAAATCAAAGTAGTAGAAATAGGGCTCTACACTGGAGCAAACAGGATCTTGTGCCTTCAAAGCTTCAGAGGAAACAACCTCTCCTCCCCCTCCAGGGAAGCCAGATGACTCTAGATGGCCTGGTCACTCTAGGGACCAGCACACTTGTAAACTGTGAAGCTGGAGGCTTTGGATGACGTATTTCGTACATACAAATATTTTAAACAAGTTATGAAAGTTAAGACTCCCGGTGAGGAGAGCTTAACTACTTCAGAGTTAGGCTAGGCATTAAAGATGAAGCCCAGGTTCTGGTTTCAGTCTTAAGACACTGAACCACTAATCCAGAAACCAGGGGGCACTGTCATTACCAGAAATTAAGTGTAATGGTGGTAAGGGCTTTAATCTCACCTCGATGACGCCTTCAGGCTCCATTCCATCGGGGCCATTGTCTCTGGATCTGTTGGTTTAAAGCATTGAGTATGAAATCCTGACAGCCAGCTCTTCCTAACCAGCAATCTGCCTTGCATGATGGCGTCTTCACTCCCTGACCCACCCAACCCGCACCAGAGTTCCTAGAAGACACAGTAATTACTTTACAACTGAATCAGGCCTTTGCCCCATCCCAGGAGCAGCTTAGGTCCACACCATCGGGACATGATGGGGTAACTCTCCGAGATGATCCGGAGACCGGGAGAAACCATACCGCGAGCGCTTAAGAGGCCTGAAGGTGGTGCTTACCGCTGGGCCCACGTGTCTCGGGCCTGGCAGCTCCAAGGCCAAGCCTGTGCACCTCCCATCCCGGCCCCAGCACTCCGGAAGTCCCGCCCTTCACCTCCCAGAATCTAAAGGACATCCCCTTCCCCCCACGTCATTCCGTGCGCGCCCTCCCCCCTCCAACCCAGCTC